CGGGCTTCCATCAACTCACAGTGGTGTTTTCAAAGTGGGTCTAGGCACAATTCTTCACAGACCTTGAAAGAATGATAATCACTTTATATGGAAAGACAAAAGACCCAGGATAGCCAAAACAACCCTGTATGATAAAGGAACTTCCAGAGGCATCACCATCCCTGACTTCAAGCTCTATTATAGAGCTGTAGTCCAGAAAACAGCTTTGTATTGGCACAAAAATGGACAGGTAGACCAATGGAATCAAATTGAAAACCCTGATATGAACTCACATTCCTACAAACACCTGATTTTTGACAAAGAAGCTAAAATCATACAATGGAAAAAAGAAAGCATCTTCAATAAATGGTGCTGGCATAACTGGATGCTGGCATGTAGAAGAATGCAGATAATAGATCAATGTCTATCACCATGCACTAAACTTAAGTCCAAATGGATCAAAGACCTCAACATAAATCCAGCCACACTGAACCTCTTAGAAGAGAAAGTGGGAAGTACCCTTGAATGAATTGGTACAGGAGACTGCTTCCTGAACATCACACCAGCAGCACAGACACTGAGATTGACAATTAATAAATGAGACCTCCTGAAACTGAGAAGCTTCTGTAAGGCAAAGGAATGGCAGCCCACAGAATGGGAAAAGATCTTCATCAACTCCACATCTGTGAGAGGGCTGATTTCCAAAATTTACAAGGAACTCAAGAAGCTAGTCTCCAAAATACCAAATAATCCGGTTAAAAACTGAAGTACAGAACTAAATAGAGGAGTCTAAAATGATTGATAGACACTTAAGAAAGTGCTCAACATCCTTAGTCATCAGGGAAATGTAACTCAAAACAACTCTGAGATACCATCTTACTCCTGTCAGAATGGCTAAAATAAAAAACACCAATGGCAGTTTATGCTGGAGAGGATGTGGAGAAAGGGGAACACTCCTCCACTGCTGGTGGGAGTGCCGACTTGTACAGCCACTTTGGAAATCAGTATGGAGATTCCTCAGGAAAATGGGAATCAGTCTGCCACAAGATCCAGCAATTTCACTCTTAGACATATTCCCAAAAGATGCGCATTCATACAACAAGGACATCTATTCCACTATGTTCATAGCAGCATTATATGTAATAGCCAGAACCTAGAAGCAACCTAGATGCCCCTCAACTGAAGAGTGGATAGAGAAAATGTGGTACATTTGCACAATGGAGTACTACTCAGTGGAGAAAGACAATGGAATCTTGAAAGTCGAAGGCAAATGGATAGAACTAGAAGAAACCATCCTGAGTGAGGTAACCCAGTCACAAAAAGACAAACATGGTATGTACTTACTCTTAAATGGATTTTAGACACAGAGCAAAGGATTACCAGCTTACAATCCACACCGCCAGAGAAACTAGGAAACAAGGAGGACTCTAAGAGAGACATACATGGTCCCCTGGAGAAGGGGAAAGGGACAAGATCTCCTGAGCAAATTGGGAGCATGGGGGGAGGGGAGAGGGAGTTAGGAGAAAGAGAAGGGGAGAAGAGGAGGGGAGAGGAGGACATGAGGGAGCAGGAAGGTTGAGTCAGGGGAAGAATAGAGGAGAGCAAGAAAAGAGATACCATGATAGAGGGAGCCATTATAGGTTTAAAGAGATCTCTGGCACTAGGGAGATGTCCAGAGATCCACAAGGATGACACCAACTAACAATCTCAGCAATAGTGGAGAGGTGACCTTAAATGCCCTTCCCCGATAATGAGATTGATGATTCCCTTATATGTCATCCTAGAGCCTTCATCCAGCGGCTGCTGATAGAATCAGAATCAGAGACCCACAGGTAAGCACTGAGCCAAACTCCTGGAATCCAGCTGCAGAGAGGGAGGAGTGATGATCAAAGGGGTCAAGACCAGACTGGTGAAACCCACAGAAACAGCTGACTTGAACAAGGGGAGCTCATGGGCCCCAGACAGATAGCTTGGAAACCAGCATAGGAATGATTCAGACCCCCTGATCGTGGGTGTCAGTGAGAAGGCCTCAGAAATCTATGGGGCCTCTGGTAGTGGATCAGTATTTATCCCTAGCAAACGAATGGACTTTGGGAACCCATTCTACATAGAGGGATATTATCTCAGCCTAGACACACAGAGGAGGGCCTAGGCCCTGCTCCAAATGACATAACAGACTTTGAAGATCCCCCATGGAAGACCTCACTCTCCCTGGGGAGCAGAAAGGGGATTGAATAGGGGGTTAGTGGGGGCAGGGGAGAGAGTAGGAACTGGGATTGACATGTAAAACAAGCTTGTTTCTAATTTAAATTTTAAAAAAAGAAAGTGGGATCTAAAGCTCTGGGAAAATATAGCCATAATGGTGTAGAGGACTTCAAGGTCAAGGAGACAAATTTGGGACATGTTTGTTCAATAAGGGCACTCCAGATTCTCGGCCTCTGTATGTGCCCAGTTTTTCCCTGTCTCTGTCTCCGTCTTGTCACCCAGAAAGCAGCATAGCCCTGGGGACCTAGCTAGTTCACCACTGGGCTATGAGGTTTGAGCGGAGCGTAGTCTGTTAGCATGAGATTTGCGATCAGACTTTTGGAGTTCAAATCTGGTCTCTCACACTTAGGAGCAATATAACACTGACCATATCACATTTTTTTTGCACAAGTGTATGTATGTGCATGGGTTCTTGCATGTACGTGTGCGTGGATATGTTTGTGTGTGCATTCGTGTGCATGTGGTGTCCAGTTGTCAGTCAGCGTCAGATGTTTTCCTTGATTCTGCTTCACCTTAGCTTCTGAGCCGGGCTCCGTCACTAAGCCTGGAGCTTGCAAATGTAGGTAGACTGGCTGACCAGTGAGCTGAGGAATCCTCCTGCCTCTGCCTCCCCAGTGTCAGCCTTCTAAGGTGTGCGCCTCTCTGGTTGGGTACTGTGGAGTGAACTCACGTTTCCATGGTCACTCAGAAAGCCTTTTACCGATGGATCTGTCTCCCCAGGCCCTTATCACATGATTCAGAATGTTCCGTCTGTCAGTGAGGATTCTTCCCATCTCCTTCGTAGGTGTACTGTGGGGATAGCATAGACTGGAATGCATAGAATCATCGCACCAGATGTTCAGCAGAGGCCTGGCGCACAGCAGGTGCTCAGTATAAGGACATCAGCATGAAGCTGGGAACCAGAGGATGGAAGCATGGCTTGAAGCAGCCCGTTTAGCTACTGGAAATGATGGCAGCTGAGATGCAGGGGCAACCTTACTGTGCGGCTGCCAAACAGGAGTGGATTTCAAGTCAGCCTCGGGCAGTCTGATCTTAAAGCCAGGGCCTGGGAAATGAACCAAGATGGTTTCTGGTGATGAAGACAGGGAAAGGAGATAGATGGGGTTTGTAAACATGACTACAAACACACTTTTGGTAACCAAGCAATTTGGCAATGGTCCCTGGTCTCGAGAGGGAATTTTTTTCCTTTAAAAACTAGAATAACAGCACACGGCGATGACTTCATCCTGGACTCTGGGCGTGTGTCCCAGAGGGGCCACCCTTCCCTGGCTGTGAGACCTTCAAAGCAGGTCAGGCATAAATGGAGAGTTTCCTGTCCCTGGTGGGCACGGCAGGTGATCACCTCTAGCTGGGGGCTTCTCCTGTGTTGCAATGAGTGTGTTTGCGCCCTCGGTCCCTGTCCAGGCTTTCTCCTTGCATTTTCCGCAAAGCACCGGCTTGCTGTTGATTGAGAGTTTCCCAGTTAACTCCACGCAATGCAGTGGGCGTTTGTGCTCCTTCCTGCATCAGGTGATTTGGAATCAAGGCTGGGTAGACAAAGGTGAAGAGCGCCTTCCAGTGGCCACCATAACCCCCTGTACTCAGTACTTCAGCCTCTTGACTTCCGGGTCAGGGCTGGCACCTGGCGTATCTCACCATTCCTGTGGATTATGGTGTGTGGGTCGATCTGGTTCTAGAGGCTGCTGCTGGGAGAAACCAGCTTGGAGGTGCCTCACCCCTTTCCCCAGCGGGACACGCTGCCTCAGAACACTTTGTTTTTCCTGCTTTGTCTTCAGTCATTGTATCTTTCTTTCCATGTCATCACCGGTTGTGAATCAGCCTTCTAGACATTGATTGACCCACTCCAAGGCCTACAATCGACTCACCCCAGAGCCTACACACTCAACCTTATGGCACCCTGACCTAAGGGTGCCAAGGTCAGATTCCCAAGCTCAGTCCCAGCCATCTTCCTCTTTTCTCAGGATGAAGAAAATACCCCGTTAGCTCATGGAGGCCGAGTCTATGTCATATCCCGCTGAGCGCCTTCACGTGAGCTCATGTTGGGCAGGGCTGACACGGATCATTCATCTTCTCCTCACCCCGTGACCGAGAAGATGATCGATTTCCAGAACAGCTCTGTCTGTTTATAAAATCAGGAAGGTCTGGGCCAGGTTCCTTCAGAAATAACCTCCCATTCTAAGAACTGAAAACCATATTGATCTTTGAGTCATACTTTAGGCAGCCAGAGGATTTCTGCGGTTGGCAAAGTTTTCGTATCGAGTTGTCGGCCTGAGCTGGGGCCCAAGGCAGGTCCTTGGTAGAAGTGCTCTTGTTTGTAGGGCGGGTAGGACAAGTTCATTGCAGCGCTGGGGTTCGCAGAGCCCTGGTGTGTGCTCACGAGTCTACACAGGTGCACCCATACCCATACTTCCCGCCACACCCGCACACACCTTGGAAAGAGAAGAAGCAGGGTCAGGGCAAGAGTGAGGTCAAAGTTTGTGGGGTGGTACCACAGTGCCCATCTCAGTGCCTACCAGCCATGATGGCAGCCAAGTCCAGGTGTCAGTACAGCGCGTACTCTGACTCTGTGCATTCTGAACGGTACTTCGGTGCTCTCACGTGTTGCTAAAGCCATCTGTTGCAGGGGGATAGAGGCAGGTTAGTATAAACACACAGCAAGAGCTGACCTATCCAGGACCGATGTGGCCCTGGGTTCAGGGTGGTGGTATGAATATTATTCTTGATTTCTTATGCCGTGTCTTGGTATGTCCAGATGTTCAGCAGACGCCTGGCACACAGTAGGCCCTCAACAAGAAGATAAAGGAAGAGTGTGCCGAGCAAGCAGATGACAGCATGGTGTGAGGAAACACAGGCTTCATCTGCGGCTGACTTTACAGAGCATTGTTCTACCAAAAGCCTGCCAGTTCCATCGTTAATCACGCGCTTTGAGGAGGTCTTTCTGAGTCATGCTTGGCAACACAGATCCATGATCTGTCTGTCCTTGAGCCCGATTCAGCAACAGGTATGGCTGAAGGCAGGGCCCGGAGGGGAGAGTATGGCCAGGTGCCGGATGGATGCAAGAGTCCCGAGCAGTGAGGACAAAGTCAGGCAGGACTCATGGGGATGATAGAGAAAGGTGCATTGGAGAGGCTAAGGAAAATTCATAGTTGCACATCCCGTTGACTCTCCTCTGTGACGCCACACCCGAGAAGACCTGCTGGAGCAGTGAGGCCGTCACAACCCCCAAATGATCGAGCTTGCTTGCTCGCTTTCTAAAAAAGCATTTTTAGTGATTTACTTATTCTCATTTTATGTGCATTGGTGTTTTCTTGCATGTGTGTCTGTATGAAGGCGTCAGATCCCCTGGAACTCGAGTTACAGGCAGTTGTGAGCTGCCGTGTAGGTGTTGGGAATTGAACCCAGGTCCTCTGGGGAGAGCAGCCATTGCTCTCAACCACTGGGCCATCTCGCCAGCCCTGATCAAAAGTTCTTACATGATTAGAATAAGATCTTCTCTTTACAGGACTCGGCTTGGCTTTGGTTTGATTCTGGAGAAGAGGAGCCGGAGTTCTGAAAGAAACTGTAGATTTAGAATTTGCCTTTTAACAACGGCAAGAAGGAGCTGACATACCGTCCCGAGGAAAGGCAAATGCTTGGCTCGTGTCAAGCTCCCAGATTTCTCACAGCTGAGGTGGAGAGGGAGCCTGGCTGCAGCTTGTGGTTTGTAGTGCGTGTGCTCCTGGGGTGCCAGGGGAGCCTGGGCTGGACTGAGTGGGTGAACCTGAGACCTTGGTGACCTGCCGTAGAGAGACTCTGCCCCTTAGCTAACTTTCATCTCTTGCTACATCTGTGACTGTTTCCCCAAGACTCCTGAAGCCCTCAGTGAAAATGAGACCTTGTCTGATCTGGAAATATTTTTGCCGGCCTTTGATGGCCAGTTTAACTGTCATCTGCTCCTAAGAGGGGGAGCCTGCGCTCTCAGATGCTCCCTAGGGCCCTATTTCAACCCAAATGCCTTGGCTTAGAGCTACTGTCTCCCCTAGCAACCCTGCTAGATTCACCTCCTGGGGCGGTCACCCCCAGACTGGCTCAGCCTGGTCTACCCACAGCCCACAGGTAAGTGGACTTCCCCAGTCCATTCTCGTTACCTTCTCACAGCTTGCTGTAGAGACCTCATGGGTGACCGACAACCTGGACAGTGGACATCAACATGGCTATGAGTTGGTTGGGGATAGTGTATGCTTTTTTGTCCATGTAATGTAAACATGTGTGAGCCAGAAATATGTAGGGTTTTCTTCCTTCCGCACTTGGGCATTGAGGAGTCAGGACTCAAGCTTCCTGCTGGGGAACCACACCGTGAAAGTGTCCCCTGGTACATGCCTGGCCCATTATGTTATCACCCATGATGAGAGGGAGCAGTCCCTGACAGTGTAGGACACAGCTCCTGGGGGCTCATCGGAGGGAGCCCAGGGGAAGTGCCTGGTTTGAGCTGGAACCTTGGCTTCTCCTCTTCTTTCTGTGCTGCTGGGAGGGGTACCCTAAAGTGTTTGGCGATGAGGTAATGGTCAAGAAGCTGTGGGCACCACGATGCCTGGCCAGACACCATGGGTGGAGCAGAGCCCGGACTGGCTCAGCTGCGATTCCCAGAGTCTGGTTCCCTGAAGGAAAAAGGCTTCACTTCAGAGACACTGGCACTCTCCTGATGACTCCAAGAGGAGTCCTGGATCTCCGCTTTCTGCAGAAGCTAGTGCCAGGGAGGCCTCAGACAGACAGCTCTGAAGGGCCCACCCTGCCTCTGCAATGTGCCCTCATGGCATTCTCTCTAAGCAGCAGTGGGTGGGGCAGGGGCATACACTTCATACCTATCCATCCTCTCCCATTCCATCCTCTCCCATTCCAGGCTCCTGCAACCCGGGGCAGGTCAACAGGGGCGGCTGCATGCCTACCCTCTATGGTAGGAATTTTGAAGTCTTTGTTTAGATTTCACTGCACTTCTTGCTAGTAGAAGTCTGGGGTACTTTCTTTCAAAGAACATCTTGGAAGAGATGGTTCTCTGGCAGGGAGATGAATTCCATCTTTTCCAGCTATGTCTTTGCCCTAACTCTTAAACCTGGCATCCTGGAGTCCCGTTATATCATGGTCCCATTGCTTAGTGGCTAACCAGGCTTGGAATAACCCACTGAGATCATTTGCAAGTCAGATGCTTTTTGGAGGTGCAACTCAATTAATTGCGAGTCAGTATGTCTGATAGGTCTGGTGTTTGAAGCTCACCGAGTCAGCAAAAGTCTGCAAAATCTAAGAGGCGAGGAAGGTTGGTGACAGCGGGTCCTTCTGAAGTGGCTGCGTTGACCACAGCTTGGCATGTGTCTGTCCATTCACAGTGCCCCTAGGACCTTCCTTTAGCACGCACACAGTCTGCTCTCCTGGGTACTGCAGATACGGACAGCATCACCAGGAGCACATGGGGAGTTGAGGGCACCCCTCTGAATGCTAGTAGCAATGACAGTTCCTCTGCTGATGCCTGCTTTGTCTTTTGCTCAGGAGAATTGACAGAGAAAAGGAAAATGGCGGGTGTGGCTCTTGAGCCGTGGGCTGAGATGCCATCTAGAGTTGGTGAGCATGGTGCTGGGAAATGTTAGGGCTTACTTACAACCTCTTGCCTAGCTTGGCTGACTTAGGCACCCACAGATGCTAGTGAGCATGCCCAGAACCTCCTAACACTGCTTCAAGGAGCACAGGACCCTCCTACCCCCAGGGGATTCTGCTTGCCCTTGAACCTCCTGCCGTCAGTGAGGAGAGCGTCCAGGTCATTCTGAGCAACTCCAGTGGAGTGTTCAGCATGGACAAGAGGAAGCCAGCCAGCCAGCCTCTCAGGACAGTGAGCAGGTGCAGCCTCACAGGACCATGCAGCAGGTGTACACTGTGACGCAGGACCAAAGGGTTTCAGGAGGGGACACTTTTCTCTGTGCTGGTTTGACCAGATGTGTCTAATAAAACAGATTGTAAGTTGATTTTATACATTTGGTTTTCATCACAACAGAATTCACCTTGTAGGTATTTATTAGATTTTTTTTGTCGCTTTATAATAGAAATATGAAGAGGACCTTAAATAGACCTTAAAATTTATTATGTTGTCTTGCCACTAACAAGAATCCTTTTTATTTGTAGGATTCTTGTTTATCACAGATGTAGAAATTCACCTAATGCGCATTTGTGTCCATTGGAAAGGAAAACACGGCAGTTTGTAAGGCTGAAGGCTTTGGAGGCAGCATGAGGATTTGAGGACCGTCTAAACTCAGGGAATTCGGACTTGGAGCTTTGCCCTAATCAGCTCAGTGTCCTTGTTGGGTTGCTTCCTCAGGGTTTTTCTGAGATCCACGTCTTCTCTGAGGCTGATGCTTTCAGATGCTCACCGGGGAGCGACACTGAGCATGAGGATGGTGAGGAATGGGGACACAGGAAGCACAGTGTCACCCTTACATTCGTGGACAGGTCCTGGTGGCAGGGCTACAGAAACGAAAGGCACAGGCGAGGTAAAACCGTGTCGGGGCACATTTCTCTGTTGAGTGCAAATTTTAGTCCAATAAATGTTGTACAGGAATCATGGTCATTATGACTTTAAGCACGAGAGGCCATGTTTCTGAGTGGCATTTTCTCTCCAGTGTGCTTTGGAGGCTTTTCCCACTTCCTGTCAAAGTGAGAAATCCTCACTCAACATCGTTTTTGAAAGTCTCCCATGGTTTGGTGCAAACAACTTTTTTCCCTCAAGGAAAAGAAATTCAGCCCTTTGAATATACAAGAAAAGAATTGCTCTTGATTTTATTTATTTATTTATTTATATTTTCGGAGACAGGGTTTCTCTGTATTGTTTTGGAGCCTGTCCTGGAACTCACTCTGTAAACCAGCTGGCCTCAAACTCACAGAGATGGGCCTGCCTCTGCCTCCCGAGTGCTGGGATTAAAGGCGTGTGCCACCAACACCCAGGGATTTTTTTTAAAAGATGGAAAACATGAAAAGGTGAGGACATGTTTGAAGGTTGTGGAGAAGATGAATTGGTTTCGTGAGGCAGCGGTTACACAGGTGAGCAGTAAGGAGAGAGAAGGGGAAGGGAGGGGCTCCTGTGTTCACAGTCGCATCAACGGTTTACTCAGCTCTCTGGGTTCCCACAGAATCTCTCTACCCTAGACCTCAACGGTATTTATTCCCTGATATTTACTTCATGTGGATGATATAATGGCAATGAAGGCATGGCTTGAAGTATCGAAGGACACTTTTTTTTCTTTTGTTAATAGTGGGTAGGATAATTCAGACCTAAAATAACCAATGACATTTGAGTGATATTAAACAAATCCTGGAGAGCAGCAATGAGTGAGTAACATAGCAGGAATCTGGGGAGAATGATGCTCAGGACTTCTGTTGACCAAAGGGCAAATAGAAATCTGTAGCAAGCTTTCTTGTCCCAGACTACCTTTGGACTGCCAACCCACAAATAACAACATGGAGACTTGTTATTAACTATGAAAGCTTGGCCTTAGCTTAGGCCTTTTTCTAACTAGTTCTTATAACTTAAGTAACTTATTTCTGCTAATCTGTGTTCTGCCACATGGCTCAGTCACCTCTCCTTAGTATAGCACACCTGACCAGCTCTGAGTCTGCTGGTGAAATCCGTGTCTAGATTCCTCCTCCTAGTTTCTCTCTTTCTTTCCGGAAGTTGCATCTATACCTTCTGCTGAGCTATTGGCCATTCAGCGTTTGATTACACCAAATCACAGCAATACATCTTCACAGAGTGTACAAATATTCCACAACAGAAATCTGAGACGCAGAGCTCAGAGGGGAAGTATTCGCCAGCCCTCTGGGCCGGGGGAGCCGTGAAGTTGGAACCCGGAGTCATCAGGATAACCTTGCCATGCCTTGATTTGAGACTTAGCAGAGGTACCTGCTGGCGATGACGGTGGGATGGACGTAAAGCAGCCTTTTCATGAGCTCTGTCCCGGGTCTGAGCCCTCGGGGTGATGGAGGCTTCTCGAGTCATGAGCAAGAAATGTGTGATAATGAACTTGACGGTGCCTCCAGGGTCTGATGTAAACCAACAATGATTGCATTGGGGAAAATGACATCATCTGAGGGCCAGAATAGCTGTATGGTCTGAGCATGGTGGTGCTTATCTGTAACCCTGGCACTCATCAGGTGGAGGCAGGAGGAATCAGGAACTTAAGGCCATCCTTGGCACACAGTGAGTTCAAGAACCTGTTCTGAGTCTGCTGGTGAAATCCATGCCTAGATTCTTCCTCCTAGTTTCTCTCTGCTTCAAATTTTTTTTTGGAGCCTATCCTGGAACTCGCTCTGTAGACCAGGCTGGCCTCAAACTCACAGAGATCCGCCTGCCTCTGCCTCCTGAGTGCTGGGATTAAAGGTGTGCACCACCAATGCTGGGCCTAATTCCTGGAGCTTTTAAATCTGTAGATTCAGGTGCCTTTAGGGGGAAATTCTCAGTCTGCTTCAAAAAAATTTTTTAGCAAATAAATTTTCACTTACTTATTTATCATTTGTTTAGTGTGTGGGAAACATGCCACAGTGACTGTGTAGAGGTCAGAGAACAACTTGTGAGAGTCAGCTCTCTTTTTCTACCATGTGAGGTCTCAGGGATTGAACTCAGGTCATCAGATTTGGTAGCAGGCACCTTTACCTGCTGAGCCATCTTGCTGGCCATCTACAAGTAGTTTTAAAAGCACAGCCTCAAGCACACAGCAAAGCAAAACACCACCTGAAAATGAATCAGTTGAAATAAGAAGCAGCAGAAGCACGGTCAGGAAGGAACCAGACAGAGGAACAGTGGAGAGCGGCTGTGCAGAAACCATACTTAATGTTTTCAGGGACGGAGAAGATGTGTGTGAGGAAGTTAGCGGAGTATGTGAAACCATGAAAAGCGACATATTAGATTCAAGCAAGAACAAAGAAACACAGCAGAATTTGCCAACACAGCAACACAGCGGATCATTTCAACAGCTTGCAGTTTAGGCATCCGTCTAACAAGATTCAGCAGAAGAGAGAATCAGTGAGCTTGAAGATTGTTCAGAAGAACACACAAGGGCAAAGGTAGCAATGAATGTTAGACAGGGAAGACAGTGAGGCGCTTTCACGTTTGTTCACTTGGATATTCCAGAGGAGTCTTGGACACAACTGACGTTGGATAAAAATAATGACTGAGAATTTTCCCCTAAAGGCACCTGAATCTACAGATTTAAAAGTTCCAGGAATTAGGCCTGGCATTGGTGGCACACGCCTTTAATCCCAGCACTCAGGAGGCAGAGGCAGGCGGATCTCTGTGAGTTCGAGGCCAGCCTGGTCTACAGAGTGAGTTCCACGACAGGCTCCAAAACAATACAGAGAAACCCTGTCTCAAAAACAAAAAACCAAAACCAAAAACAAAACCAAAAAAAGTAGCTCCAGGAATTCTAGCAGAAACAAGTGAATAATGTACGTGACGGGGAAACTATGAACAATTATACCCTTAAAGGGTTAGGGATAAAAAAGAAAGATTGCTTTAGAAATGTCCAGGCTGAGGGTTTAGCTCAATAGTACAGCACTTGCCTAGCATGTGTGAGGCTTGATCCCATCATGAAAAAGTCATAAAACAGATTAAAGAATAAAAAGCAAAAGTAATTGTAGTGGGACAGTAGCGTGAAGCCTCAGCACACTGTCTTCAGCAGAGTAGAAGAAAATAATTGCTAACACTGACCGTCACTGACCACCACCCTCAGTAGGAAGAGGCTCCAGGAGTTGAAATACACAGGTGTGTGCAGACAACAAACCAGGGGTTTATTTCCAGGACGCTTCAGTGAAAGCACAGTGAGGACAGTTCTTCAGGCAGAGAAAAAAGAATTCTAAGTGGTAGGTTAGGGATGGAGGAGAAACGAAGAGCGAAGGAAAGGATAAGGTTTCAGCAAAGCCAAGAGAACCCCAAGTTTATAAAATGACCAACATTTTATGGTGTGTGTGTGTGTGCATGTGTACATGCATATGTGTGCATATGTGTCTGTGCGCATGTGGGCACTATTGGAATGTTGGATTTATCATAAGTTAAATAACCAAGGTGAGTATTCAAAATAGAGTGAAAATGTAAAAAATTTAAGATAAATATGGAACGATAAAAATTTCACTCCAAAGGGAGACGAGAAAACAGAAAGCAGGAAGTGGGCGCAGCAGACAGTATGCTATAAAGAAACCGTTTTAAAGCTAAATTTATCACCAATTAAATGTAATAGATTGCAGACTCGATTAAAAAATCAAAGGCTTTCATTCTTCATTAAAACTCAAAGTTAAATGATGCTCTGTTCTCAAGGCCCACGCTAAAATATGAGGATAAAAATGTTTGAAAATAAAGATCAGAAGACATTGTACTGGGTGATCAGCAGCCGAGAGAAAGCTGGTAAAAGCATATTGACTTTAAGGCAAAGAGTTACTTAAAATAAGAAGGTCATTTCTCACTGTTTTCAGGTCAGCCGATCTCTCAGTAACCAACATGGCAAGCAGGCAACATTTAAACAAGACTGAAAAATGCCCAGAAAGATGCTTAAGCCTGGCAGGAGAGATGCCCTCACAGACATACTAAGAGACAGAGAACACATCTGCAATGGTCAAGCTGGACATCGCTCAGCTTTACCACACACAGGGCGCTGAAGCACGCGCCAACAATGTCAAAGGATTTGATGACAGAAGATCTAATGTGACCAAGTTCAAAAACAGAGGGTGACTCCATAGTCACCGTGTCTTTAACAATTACGACGAGGGAGAGACAGTTTCATTAAGGGTGTGTCCCTTGGTGTGTCAACCATGCTACAGTAGCTAGCTCCATACCTGGGAGTACATGGACAACACAATTAAACTCACCGTGGTATTAAAAAACAAACAAACAAGCCATGAAATTGAGGAGAGCGGGGAAGTGGGGTAGATTTTGGAGCGGTTGGAGAAGGAATGGGGGTTGAGTATGACAAAAACACATTGTATGCAATTCTCAAAATAAATATCTTAAAAAGGAACACGTCTTGCTAGAACGTAACCAAAAAAGTAAAGCTCAAACAAAATTCTACAATATCAATTCCATGGAATGTTGTACTTTCTACAATATCAATTCCATGGGATGTTGTACTTTCTACAGTATCAATTCCATGGGATGTTGTACTTTCTACAGTATCAATTCCATGGGATGTTGTACTTTCTACAATATCAATTCCATGGGATGTTGTACTTTCTACAATATCAATTCCATGGGATGTTGTACTTTCTACAATATCAATTCCATGGGATGTTGTACTTTCTACAGTATCAATTCCATGGGATGTTGTACTTTCTACAGTATCAATTCCATGGGATGTTGTACTTTCTACAATATCAATTCCATGGGATGTTGTACTTTCTACAATATCAATTCCATGGAATGTTGTACTTTCTACAGTATCAATTCCATGGGATGTTGTACTTTCTACAGTATCAATTCCATGGGATGTTGTACTTTCTACAGTATCAATTCCATGGGATGTTGTACTTTCTACAGTATCAATTCCATGGGATGTTGTACTTTCTACAATATCAGAGCGAGAGATGCCAGGCGAGCCTTAGCAGGCACCAGACACACTGGCCGAAGGGGAACTGTCGAGGGTAAAGCCAAGGGGAACTGTCGAGGGTAAGGCCGATTTAGGAGGTGATGAAGGGAGGGGCCATCTCCATCCCAGGTGGAGAGCAAAGAGCAACCTCAGGAGAATGGCAGGGTGCAGGGAGGGCACCACATGATAGACTCACCCTTTAGGCTACGATTTTGGGAACAGTCAGGCGATGGGGGCGAGGTGGGCGGTGGCTGAGACTTAGGGGAACCAGTAATGAGGCAAGTGCTTCGGGAAGGAAGACGGTTTGCGCCACGCAGTGAGATGCAGTTCCCAGGGGCAGTTTCTGGAAGCTGCAAATGATGTCTAAAAAACCAACCGGGAGTTAAAGGGTGAGGGGCTAATGACAGACCTGCAAATGGGGCGAGGAAGATGAAATACCCCCAAAGAGGAGAATTTCAAGAGGAAGGATGTTATAGTGTAACGTCTGATAGGTGTTCTGGCAACCAGATCTGCTGCTGGTAGCTTCCGGGAGACTGGAGGAGAGCCTGGAGGAGAGCCCTACGGATTCTAGGAGGCAGCTACAGCTGTTGGAATCATTAAAGTTGGAATGCTGGGAACAGTGGGGGCACAGACTGTTTTAAAAGCTAGAAGAGGGTTTGAGGGAGGGCTTAGCTGTTTAGAGAGGGTTGTTGCTGTGCAGAGGGCCCAAATTCAGTCCCCAGCACCCACATCAGATGGCTCACGACCACCTGTAACTCCAGGCCAAGAGGATCTGGCCAACCCTCTTCTGGCCTCCACAGGCACCCACATTCAAGTGTGTGGACACAAACACACGGCACACCAACGTACGGCAGTAAAAAATCAAATTTGAACACAGAAGCTGGGACCCATGCACCTTAACTCTTCGCATTCATCACCTGAAAAGGGAACGTCCGATTTTTGATCTTGGATTAAGGTTTTCTAACCCTGTCAAGGGCTCAATCCTTTTACCCTCCTCTAAATATTATTAGGGAAATGGTTTTGAGCCCAACCTCCATGACAGTCTGTGCTAACGTTTCTGGTTACTTAATCTGTCATACAGTAGATAAGGAGACAGGTGTTTTTAAGAATTGCCAAAGGGAAGAGAGATACATTTGAGCATCCCCTAATCTGTTCTTACCTCACAGTGTTTTAAATCTGAAGTGGCTAGTTTACATGCCACACTGGTATTTCTGTAACATATAATTGAGAGATGCCCAAGCACATGCTCTCTCTTAATAAAGGGCTTTAATTCCAGAACTTTCCTCATCTGCTGCTCTCAGACAATCCTCCAGGAGGGGTAGAGCCTGATAATCTTCATTGTGGTTTTCGCATATGAAACTCCAGGCTGCCTGTGTTAGCTTAATTTTGTCTCTGAGAAGTTTTGTTACTAAAACACATCCCATCTCCATTTCAGATCAAACGCATTTTAACGATGGTTCTCATTTTACCTCCTGTGGTTGGGAGGTCTCAGTCATCTTTTGGCGGCCATCAAACCATTTACTTGTTTTTTGGGGGGATCATCGAGAACACTTCTTCCTCAGTTCCATCCACCCCACAGACTTTGGGGTCCCGCAGGAGAGCTGTTTAGTGTGTGTTGAGGCATACCTACTAACATGGCGACTCTAATGTTTTCTTGCTGGACCACGTTAGAAGTGAGATATTTGGAGTGGAAATGATGGAAATTCTGCTTCCCCAGTGACAGCCCAAGAAAGTGCTGTGTGGCTAGACTCTATCATTATTGCCTTAAGACTGAAATCACTGTGTCTCAAATGCCATTCTGAAGTCAGAGCTTACTATGCATAGCAGCTTGTTATTCCTCTCCACCAAGGACTGAAGCTCTGTTCAAGGGATGGGGAAGAGACACTGAGTTGCTCGCCAAGGATGCGAGAGTCTAATTCCTGGTACCTGCCACCCAGCACACCCTATGCCAAAGGCTTCCTTCCAACCATCTTGGTCAGGAGCGACCCTTCAAGTCCTCGTTAGTCAGTGGAGGAGTGGGCTTCTGGTACCCTCCAAACCCCATGCAGGTGGTTCAGCAGGGCAGGCAGGCACCTTCCTTGCAAAAGCTCCAGTTTCTTGCACTTCCTTGCTGGCTGGAGGTGAGAGGTGGGACTCCTGAGCAGAGAAGTGTTGCCAGAAAGAGGCTGAGTAACTCCTTAGCCCTGGCCTGCATCCAGCAGGGAGATGCTGAGGTGTGTGACCTTAATGCAGCCAGAGACCCTGGGGGAGCAGGAAGCTGAAATCCAGGCTGTGTTATTTGTTCACTCATCGATTTCTATCTGCCGTTGTGTTAACTTCATCAGAACCATCTCTGAATGCTTGGAGCGTCTGTCCTACAGGGAGACCTAACCATGCAGCCATCTGTGTCATTGTTGAGCCACCATGAATTCCATGGAGGAGGATCCAAAACGCCATGGATGAGAGTAGGAAGGGGTCCTTGTCTACCTTGATCTCATAGAGGTAAAGACCAAGGATCAGGCCTCTCCAAGGCGGCGGCATCAGCCAGAATGACAGATGAGTGAGGGAACTGGTCCCAGCAGAGGGAACAGAATATGTGAGGTCACAGCTGTCAAATACCTTTAGGAGAGGAGGGGACTGGCTGGGATCAGGGGCACATGAGACAGGCGACGGAGGGGTGGATGGAGAGATGAGGCCGGTGGCGGAGGCAGAGGAGCATGGATAGTTGGATGCAAGCCCCTCTGGCAGGGCAGGCAGGAGCTCTTTTTTTTATAACAAGGACAGGGAAGCTACCACTTGGTTTTAAGCAGGTGAGTGAAAATCCTACTGGTATTTTGAGTAGTTAATTCTGGCTCCTCTGTGTGAATGGGTTGCTCTGTTGAGGGATGGGGTAGATGTATGGAGTCAAATTTCTGCACTGGAAGTGACCTTAGCCTCCCTATGTGTCATTCTCTGGCATTGATGCTCACCCTTTTCCTATGGCTGAGGGTGTGGGAGCCCATTGGTCATACTGCAAGGGGACTTTAGGTTAATCATTCTCCTCCCTGTTTCTCCTACTTCCATGGTAAGTTGAGGATGAATGGAAAGAGCAAATACAAACTGAACCGAAGTCAAGTGGCAGTGTTTACACCGCTAACACTCACAGGGCACACTTCTCCCCATAGGTCTGACTCCATGGGAATGGCGAATCCTGAACACAGTGTCAGCTGCAGGCTGAGCATGGCCCAGTGCGCAGGTGCTCAGGAACCATGTGGACACAACACCTGGCACTGAAAAAGACACCATCTCAGGACTACTCTCCTTAGGGTCCCTGAAGGGTCTTCTGGGACTGTAGTATCAAAGTTTCTCTGCTAAAAATAAGAGTGTCTTTGCTGTCACCAGCATTAGACATTCCTAACTACAGCTCACAGAGCCCGTGGGGTCAAGTTCGTTTCAAGACAGCCACAGCCAACCAGACTTGGACTTAATTTGCCGTGCCGTTTATGAAGAAATAGGAGAATGAGTTGATGAAATTATATTTTTCTTTAAACAAAAAGAAAGGGGGAAAGAGAACCAGGCCAAATTTTTTCCTTTCACCCCAGGGAGGGAAGATGGCATTATTCAAGTGTGTGTCTGTATAGGGCTCCATGTGAGGTTGGAGAGAGATCATATGTCAGTGGACTGATGGGTTGCAACATACCTAGGTGTTCTCCAGCAGGATTAAACAGTGTTTGAGCACTTTTCTCGTTTTGGTTAGCAATACAGCCTAAGCTTCAAATACACAATCATAGTCACAGCAGAGTTATGTGTGGAACTAGCGACTGGAGAGTCTCAGCTGTGTGTCCCTGATTTGCTCAAGCTGCAAAGACATTGATGATCTAGAGGACAAGTCCTGGCAGCTTTTCCAGCCTCCACACAGAGAGTTTCCAGAATGGAGGAGCAAGAGGAAGCACTTTATTATGGCCAGCTCCCATCATGCCCACAGCTAATAGGGTTATGTAGGTGTCTGCTAAGTCAGTTTTCAATGGTGGGCTCACATTGTCTATCTGTGACTTTTTTCCTATTATTTTTTTTATTGCCTCTGGGTTCATTGGGTTTACTGGTTTCCTCATCCTGTCTCTTTTCTCCCTTGGAACTGACAAACTCTTATTATACATATTTAATCAAGTTTGAAATTCATCAGTACCTTAAAGTTTTAGCTTCTGCACTGAATAAAGATTTTAAACCAATTTCCAATTTTTAATTGGCATCCTATAGTGGCCCATTATTTAATAGTCCGGCTTTTTATTGAGTAATTTAAACATTGCTATTATTTATCTAGACCATTTGTCTCATCCCAACAACGTCGAAACCTCTTCAGTGAGGTTATGATGGCAGGACATTCTTTGACTTTTGTTTTTCTGAACATGTTTTTATCTTTGTACCTGAAAAGGTCATTTTG